CATTAAAAACTAACCCACGGCCAGAGTAGCGATTAGATACGAGCAATAGGTAGTTGTATATAGTATACCGTATTTACGTTTTATCAATTAGCGGAAAATGGTTCAAGAACATTTTCTGTCTAACTTTTTGGGTATCCACCTTCTGCCCTCCGCTGCAATTCACCCAAATGGGCCTCTTGCATGGAACATTAAAGACAGTTTTTTTTTTTTTTTTTTTTTCTCATAGATAGTTATATTTTGTATTCAGTTGCTACGTGTCTGCAGGACAAATAACAAATGAGTATCGAGCAGCCCGTCTCAAATCGCTACAACAAGCTCCTAGCTACGGAAGGAAGACATTTAATCTTAGCGCTCGCCAAAGCCGTTCAGTTGTATTCCAACATCAAAGATCACCACGAAACACGGATCCAAGCTAAAAATTTCATTAAAATTAATTTTAAGTGTGATACACTATTACGGTAGAGCAATGGTCTGGCCTCTCTTTTACATACTATCAAATTAAACTTTGTCTTTTGGTTACTTGTTGATAGGGTAATTTAAGGGCAAGACGAATATGTTGTTCCTTTGGCTCCCGATAAATATGGACGTAAATGTGAAGCTAAGTGGAAATCGCAGCGTTGCGAGGCTGCAGCAGGCGCTTTAGTCAGGTCTCATCATGACTACAGGCTCCCTCCGGCCCCAGTTTCACCTTGCTTTTACGCTGTGATGAATGGTAGCCTGGGTAGACGAGGAGCAACCCCCAGCGTAAATGCTTTAATCGAAATTCCCTCACAGAATAAATAGTAGACGCTTATTTTGCCAAGCAGTATAATAGATAGTGCAAATTCGTACGTGGCTTAATAAATCCCATCCCTCACTCCAGGAAAACCTATTCGGTGCACTCCATGCTTTTGACACATCTTCTAGGACATCAAAACGGCTATAATAGCCAGAACTATAGATACTGATTTGTAAAGTAGAGCCGACGTGTATGTTCTATATTACATTACACTGAGGTCCGCGTAAGGCCATAGAGCAAAGGATTTGAACGTGTACACAAGATTTCTATCACGTTGTCCTGGAACGAAAGAGACACCCCTCCTACAATCCTTTTTCGATGTAGGTTTTTAATTACATTTCGCGCATGTATCGCCAAGGTATCACGTAAGAAATAGGACAAACTATTGTAACTTTGCTGATACCAACAATAATAAGTTTTTATCTTTTAATTGAAAGTGGATATATTTTAGTTTTATTTAAGCAACTTTTTTCAAAATTATTTAAATTAAAATATAAGTAAATTATTTAAATGCTTCTAAGGTTCGTAGGTAAATAATAATAATAACGAAATACGTATTTAAATCGCAGTGTTATCGTTTTATCAGTAATAACAAATAACTGGTGGTGCTCACAATGACGTCATCGCAGTATAGTAAGGACAAAGGCCGTGACGAAAATACGAGAGCTTGAATCAGATTGGAAAACTCTTACTCTGACAAATTTTAAGCCTGACCACCTACTGGGTTTTTATTTAAACATTCGTTGAAAACCTGCCCTAACCTTTAACATTTTTCGTCTGCTTTTTGAGTGTTATTTGGATCCGAACTTTGGCATTGCATCCAGTCATTTATTTAAGTCTTGTTTTCGTCATATGACACAAGAAAGAACGGCCTTTTTTCCTGTAATGGCATTTCAATTATTACACAAAATACTTCTACGTAGTACCCTAGTGCCGTCATTTTGAGAAGCGTATGAAACGAAACATCAGTATATAGGCCAGTTAGACAGCGTTTTTATGTTTGCAAATGATGGAACTGAACAGTTCCGGCATCCCAGCGGTGCGAGATCCTTTAGTCAAGAAAAATAACGTAACCGCTAAATCTGCTTAAGTGGGTTCTCTGTTTTTCTATTATAACCGGATGGTAACGCGGTGCGCGCGCGAAGCAGAAACAAACGGTTACTACTACTACCATGTAAAAAGCGCTCGTAAATGTAGACCTTTTCCAGCTCTACCATTCCTGAAGAAGCATTGGGTTAGTTAGGTCGACACGTGACGACAGTCTAGACATCTGTACAAGCTAAACTGGATATTAGTGCAAGCCTTCATTAAGCAGACCTAGGTCTACCAGCATTTAGGCCAAAACGACGCAGTAGGAAGACATGCGTTATGAAAAAAGTAAATATGGTATTCCTTGATTATTCAAATGCCGGAAAATATCGGTCACTATTACAGTTATATTGGGAGCATTTTTCTAGCGAGTTCGACCATGTTACGGAGCATATACAGGACTTAGTACATTGTTTCAGTTCTCGTTTCCCGCCGTACACTCCTCATTGAGACATTCCTTATACTCTTCCTTCTTAGGTTAAGACTTTCTTTGAAACACACCGATCAATCATTGGACATAAATCAAACAACGTAAGCGTTTCGTGGATAAACCTATGGGAAAACTGAACATTCGGATGAGACGTAGTAGCTCAGTTTCCTAAATATGAACTTAATTAGAAGACAACACAAGAGCGTACCGGTAGATTCCAAACCGCTCTGGATCTTGTCGTTGCTGTGCAGCAAGAAATAATCACTTCTAAAGGTAGGCCAGTTATTTTCGGAAGCGTTCCTCCATTCTGTGTCTACCTACAGTAAACTTAAGCGTCTGATCCGCATAGTACGCGGTTGTGTTGTTATAGGGGCCAATTAAGCCGTCATTACAAAGTCCCAATGACTCTAAGAAGAAAAACCGTCCTTTTTAAAAAAATCTCTTTTTCTTCTCACATTTGTATGCTGTATATCTGTGGTGGAGCAAAGTGTTCTGCTCTAAGTTTCCTGCATGGATCGCCCGGGATACCGTTAGCGCAGCGGTCTTTTTCTATCACATACGTGGAGAGAATGTTTCGTTGAAATGAGTCGTAGACAGTTATGCTGCGGTGTATAGGAGTTATCCGGAGAGCCGCTTCAGAAGTGGGGTAACGTGCAGACGATTTCTGCCATCAAAATTGCAACTGCTGTCGTTGCAGAAGGGTCACATGCCAACCAGGCGACCTGCGTAGCTTCTAGCCCAGTTTGTCAGTTAAAGAAGCCCCGGTGCGAGACATAGTACTTCCAGCCTTAGCGGAAAATTCTACCGGTCCGAAATAGAGTGGTTAAACCGAAATTCTTTCTTGTCAAAAGAAAAAAATTTTTAATTGTTTGTTGGGATGGGAAAATGCACGGATCGCACAGATACTTCTGGCAAAGACAACCGGTCTACTGAGCTATTCCATTATAAAGCTATAGTTAAAGGCTGACTATCTTAAACGGAATTTACGTGCGACGTAGCGATCCAATTCTAACGGTGATATGCTTGAGCGTTGACTTCTTCTATGGCAGTTTTACAGGTTGCTGCCGTCTGTGTCAGTTAAGTTAAGCTCGAATTACGCCAAGGACTCGTCGTCTCACATTAAAAGCCCACTAATTTAGTTCAAAGAATTCATTTACGAACAAAGCACGTAGGAGTTCCAGCAATTCCCAACCTAAGGACACATGTTCAATGTTAGAGTTTTGCTTCGAAGTTGGGGGCAACCTTCGACCGCGGCAAAATGGAGAGCAAAGTCCGCTTTGCGGTCCTGCAAAAAGTGATTTGACCTAGAAGACGGTAGGATTTCTTTCCGAACTCACCGACGGTTATGGGGCTACAAAAAATACTCACAAAAAACTTACCGAACGTGAATTAGGAAAATAGGTTCTAAGAAGTATAGTTTAGTCAACAAATGCAGGTGTTTTACATGCGATACTCAACCTACTTCCTTAAGCCGATGTAAACGAAAATATTATTGGACAGTAATATGCTTGGAAACATGTTTCTAATACGATCTATTTTCGCGATAGCTTTCAATTGGCACAGCTCATAATTGAGTTTGTTAAATTTTCAGTTTTCTTGTTGCATGTCGTCTGCCGAGGCAGAAATAGGTAAGGGTCGACTCACTTAACGCGCGTAAAATCGAATAGAAATCATTATACTTTAAGCGAAGCTCACTGTTGTTGAGCACTAAGCCTGGCAACACCCTGTATGTCTCTATCACAACCGACCAAAATGAGCAATTAAACATGCATTTTTCCATAGCAAGTATATATATATATATAGGTCCATAGAAGCAACAACACTATATATAGCTTAATTTTGATTTAATACTGATTGAAATTGGTTAATTAATTAATAAAATTTGATTGAACAGATGCTGCGAATATTATTAAGCTGCCGATAATTAAAATCGATGGTTAAAAGATGAGGTCTAGTAATGAAGGCAAATGTTACATGAATCTATCCTAGTAACGAAGGCATAGTCTAGTTGCAAAGAACATTTAAGTGCTGTAACAAATTTAGTACATCTAAATTCCGCTTAATATACGCGTATAGATGTCATCATTCATATTAGAAAAATATTTCTATAACGTGTTCCGACAAAACCTAATGATAACTTTAGATTCTAAGGCAAGCGCCCTTTTTTGGAACGTCCTTTTTTGTCTGGCTTTCGCCCGATGTTTGCAGATTCGGAGAGGTCTTTCGTTCGTACTTTGTGGACAAACATCGGCCTGTTACGTTAGTAAATCGTAGTTCAGTAACGGGAAATTTTACCAAGCAGTGCGCCGAGCTTTAGCGATGGTTTTTTTTGTACAAAGTAGTATTATCCTGTAAAAACGTAATTCGTTATCGGCTGTCAGATGCGTGATCTAACTAAAATTTCTACCCGAAGATTATTGGCGAAACATCCAGGATTAAGGAATGTATTCTTGTACTTAGAATCTGTACGTCGAAGCAAAAATAAGCCACGCATTAGGAAACAAATGCATTAAGTATCGATAGTCGCGTAGTAATTTTCATATCCCTACTGTGTGTATCGTAAACTCTCCGTTTGCTCTGTTGAGGATGTACAGCCAGTTTTCTTCTCCCTTGTCTGTTATTATACGATTATCAATCAGCTTGGTATAAGTGCGCCTGGTGGATCTGTGCACGAGCGGGAAGCAGGTCACTCTTAGCCTTTGTTGGCCTTTAGCTGTTGTCATACGTACTTTTCACATCACTCGTCGATACGCTATGGTACAACGCGATTCATCTGTATCTAGAAAGCGTAGCCGCCGTAGCTCCTACCTGCCTGCTCTGCTGCCTGCTGAGAAGTGTTCTAACGTGATAATGATGAGATGCCTTGACAAATAGCCAAATTCCACTCCAGTACCCTTGGTCCTCGCCTTCATAGGCTATCAGCTAGTGGTATTCTGTATGTGGTTCGTTTAGATACAACTCTTTTTACTTTTCTCTCCTATATAATACATATAACATATTTGCTCTATGCTCTTTCAAGTTTTGGTGTCTATTGCAGGACTTCTCACTACCGTAAATGGTAGAATTTCGTCTAGTCCTGTAATTTCCGGTCGGTTCGGTCGAGAAGTTGGCTTATGACTGCTGTAGCTACCGCCTTCCTTCTTCCAGCACAGAAGAGGCAAGCGACGACTCGAGTGATCGGACCTTATTCGTCGTTGTTCGAAAGGCCGCTTGACCTTACCTCAAAACATTACGGTGACAGAACTTTTGAAACACCACTGGGTGTTTGCGTGCTCTCTTAAAAGTGCCAATTCTACTTAGGTACTGTTTCTACCTCAGAAACCACTACGTAAAAAGGGAGTGGTATCTATGCTAACACGCATCGTTAACGTACAGGTTTGCCTCAGTTCGGTCAACTGATGGGTTACCTTAAATCGGAGTGAATGACCTAGTGATAAGACGCTGCTCATTAAACAGATTCAGAGTGTTTCCGAAATAGTTCAGTGGGTAACGTATTTGTCTGCTAATCTTTGGGACACGTATAGAGAGGCATGTCAAGTCAAATATTCTGATCGTTACCATTTTAGGCATAGAGGAAAAATTGCAGTACCACTTTATGATACACAATACCCAGCTGGGTCGATTCTTCTAACGCGCGAAGATACATAACATAACGTACCTGTGTGGGTCAGTAAAATGGTATCAAAATAATATGTCGAAGGAAAACGCCAAGTAGTCAATGTTTTTTGTTGTTAATTAAACTGAACTTTCTTTCCAGAAAGAAAAACTGCGTAAATAGAAACGTTATACGATAAAAACTTACGCAAGTGGAGAAACTGATGAAAAATACGATACCCAATGAATTTATATGGAGTCGAATTTGAAGAGCAAAGCATCCCTATAATTTGATAGGAATCAATCTTGTTTGACAGTACCAAAGCGCACTATTTACTATAAAATTGTCCACCTAGACGCAAATCATTATAGCATGCGAAGATATATATATATATAAACATAAAAATAACCATTTATTCATCCTCTGGCTAATCGTGTCGCCATTTTCTTTCAGGAACAGAAAACAAATATGTTATGATGAACCATGGACGCTATATCAAATCGAGCTCATAGAATATATCACCTTGTATCCGTCGAAACTTCTTCAAGTCAAGTTTAAGTTTCTAATATATATGTACCTAAACGGACCTGGGATGATCGTTCTTTACTGTTGTAAAGCTGGCTGATATATATAGATAGTTGTCTGGTATAAAAATACCGGTTCGATAAAAAGGATGAAAGCTGCATGGGCCGAGCCCAGTTCACTGCGTTGCATTGTTGAACCATTCGGTTCTCGACATCTGGGTTCGCTCAACAACCGCATCAATATATGTCGTAATAGCGGACGGTATCGTTAGCGTTATAAATTGACCTGTAAGCAACTGTAAACAATATCCAACCACAAAGGAAAACGGAGATAGGCAGAGTTTAGACAACGTCTTTTTCGCCTATAACGACCAGCAGAACCTAAATATTGTTGTCATTTTTATACACGTGTTTCGGAAACCTAGCCGTAAATGAGACGTTAGTAAAAGTAGGTATTTTATATGAGCAATTATTAGCTAAGCTATTTTTTTTCTTGATTGCTTGAAGAACCATGCGCTTTTTTAAAAAAAAAAAAAAAAAAAAAGGTTGTTTGTTCTCTAAATAATCGACAAAAATTATTACTCACGATCGGATATATTTTAAAGTAAGAGCTATATAAAGCATTGAATATCGTTTGCACCACCTTAATGAATTTACTGTTCTACAGTATAATTCTTCTGATCCGTTTACAAACTTTCTGAGATTGTTAGGAAAGATATTTATATTATCAAAACAAATATTTAACTTGTGAGGATGAAGTTGAAGTCGGTATATTTAAATAAGCATACTAAGTTGATACCAAAACATACGGCGATTCTTCATCAAACTCCAAGGATTTTACTGAGAGAGCAAACGACGTTAATGTAAAAAAATACGAAAAAAAGCTGTAAGTTCAAAAGCACTTCAACAAAATCAATGTGTTTATATTACACGGAAATTAAAACTTTATTGATAATGAAGTTACGTATTTTTATTGTAATAGTAATAATAAATACTTCAACTACGGCATTAGTTATGTATAAATCAGTATTATTTGAATATTTTTAGAAATAAATCTCTTTAGAAGAACTTTGCTTTGTTTGAAGAGTTTGATCTGGATATTCTGTCCTAAACGCAGAGTTTATACGAACGTGAAACGGTGCCAGAAATCTGCGTTATGATTGCACGATCGTGCAATATCCGTCTTCAGAGTCAACATCATCAACTTGTCCAACTTAATCGTCCAACTTATTCCAATTTTGGCCCCCCGAACCATTCTAGTATGTCGACGATATGCCCATTAACGTCTCTTTAATACGATCTGTACTGTATTTTAGGTTTTTCAAGTTGTCGAAGACACTGATAACAAACGCGCTATCATCTTGGCTAGTGGCCCTTATCCTGACGATTCAATCAAAACCTTTGGTTTTACTTCGTCTGCTTTTGTCTGCTTCAGCGCTTAATACCCAGACTGGGGCTTCCACACCCCTAGAACAAACCTAAATCAATGTGTCATAACAAAGATCTGCCAGTATGGGGCGACCGTAAACCAGTTCTACTGATCACCTGTTCCATAGGGGCATATTCTGTATTTACGTAAAGTTCGTCAGAATGAGTGCAATCCGGCGTAACGAACAGCGCAAACTGGGAGCTGAACACAAGACTATTAAGAGGGATTCGTCGATTAGTGGCCGACCTCGCTCTTATCGGCATGAATGTTCGTGTTGGCGTACGGTGCCGACTATCCCGAATTATCCACCCACCCAAGAATATGTTGGGTTGTGCGAATTTTTTTTGCGCAGAGAGAAAATGTCTACAAATGAATCCATTTCAGTGACAAAAACGCAGCGCTGATTAGCGCCGCGTCGATGGGCCAAACAAACACCGGATTAGAAGTAGCAGAACGGAACGCGGGCAACAAGAGTGGATACGGGACAATGTACATTTTGGATAATGGCCAATAACAGGCGGAGACCGGTTCATATCATCCAAGTTTGCGATGCCGACTATTCGGCTATATACTCTTGGTTGGCGAAACCCTCCTAGACTAGTGTTATCTATTTTGTGTCGATATAATACTATGTATATGTTAATAACTATGTTCCGTCTCTCGTAGACTTCTTTGTAGGGTTGTTTAAATGCTGTGATGGGCGACAACGATTTCCAATATTCGATTTCCCTTCGCCGTCACGGCTGGTAACGAGGCCAGAATCAACTAAAAGTTATTGTCAAAAAAAGGAAGCAGAGATGCTTGCAAATACATAGATAGAACGGCTAGATATAGCGGAGGGGCAGAAACGAGGCAAGTACGAAAAGGGCACTGAAGCAGGTGATATTTCCTTTTTTATACCTATTTTTCTGTGTAATGTTGCTAGCTAATATTTGGTAAGGGTAACCTCAATTAACTTGCAGCTTCTACAAATGTATGAATTAAGCTACTTTCCACATCAGCATCAATAACCTCGTCACAACCAGCAAAGAATACGGTCAGTGATCGTGAAAAATCAGCTAAATGCACTACCCCTGTAAAAATATACCCATCCAATATATATATATATCTTACATGTCTTGTTATCTTTGTCTCCAGCTGCTTTTCTTTGATTTTTTATTTATGCGTGCCTTATATGTTCATGTAGAGTTCTACTAATTGGCAGCATCGGTTGATTTGCTAGCGAAGGCTTTCGCAGTCCAAAGGTGGAAGGCTCACCCCTCTCTCGCTTGCTTTCTCTAAGTAATATATATATATTTTAATAAGAACAGACCTCTGTATATATTATGCCCAAACAAGAACTGGGTCACTGTACCAGTATGGTACAGGGTTCACTGGCAAGTCAATTCGGAAGATATTTCTTCCCCAGACACATATTATGTTTAGCGTTCTTCGCCTGCCATATGATAGGCTTGAGCAGTGTGCTATTAAGGTTCAAATATGGCTTCTAGTTCTATCTAGGGTTGGGGTAAAATATCTAAAGGGTTGCATTAAAGAATAGGCTGGATCATTTTCGATTCGATATATAGCTTGTGATCCGGATACAATATCTAATCGCCACAGGAAGTAATAAGGGTAAATGAAAAAATAAATAAAAATTACGTAACGAGTTGATATTTTTATCAGGACGAGCTAACACTTGGACGGTACAAATGGATCTTTGTTATGTAAATGGACAAAAATTATCTATTTCCAATAGTTAGAGTTTTGCGTTGTATATGATTAGGAGCAAATTGAATAACATTAACTGTTTGTATCTACCGAAGGAGTGTTCCCCATATTACAGAATAATCTACTGTTATGGTTGCTTTCCTCTGTGGCAATTCTCCTAACCGTATATGTAACCAGTATAATAACAGAGAGGAACTGAGCTAATGATAACCGGTAGAATCAAACAGTAGAGAAGATATTGAATTGTGAGCCCGATAGATACCTAGACAGTAGTGAATGGCGTCGTATCGGCGTCGGCCTTTTGCGGTACCGCATTTGAACAGGCGCGCGCGCTTGAACAAAGACGAAGGATACAGACAAGAAAAGATGGCAAGAAAAAACACTTGGTCCACCTGGTCTCGTATCATCGTCGGAGTGTGCTACGGGCGTCTGCGGCTTTGGCAGCGCCGGCGCCTCAAAGTGCGCCAATAACAGAGCGGTTGAGAGGATACGTAAGTACAACATAGCAAGAACAAATGAAAAACAAGAGGAGGAAAAGGGAGCGTGCGTTCTTCAAAGGGAAAAACGACGGACTTTAAACCGCGCCGCCTGCCTAAATAATTGTCTAACCGCGCTCGTGCCAACAAGGTAAACTTGGTCGTTTACCCTCTGTAGTTATGCTTGTTTCTGTGTGACTGTTGGCTAACTTTTTCGCTCGTCTTGTAAAGGGGACAGCTTCTCTGCGAGCCTTCGTCCCTTACCGATATCTATTATTAAAAAAATGGCGACATTCCTTTTAGAACTCTGTGAAGGAACCCCAGAAGTGCCAACGCCGACGCTCTTGTATAAGAGCTACGCTTTCTCACAGCTAGTCTACTAGATTCTCGAAATCGAGGCTACGACGAGTCCAATGACTCCCAGAGAGTGACGCTGTCCACATCGTCCACTCTACATCTGGTCTTTTTCTCGTTATTACACGTTATAGGTGTATTGGGACGTTCGTGTTCAAGCTTGACGCTCCACGGTGGTTTAGAGTGCACGCTAAAGGACTTACGACACCAGACATGGATGCCTTGGGAAATAGAGATGCTTCCGTTAGATTAGATAGCTCCTGTTGCCGCTGTCACGACTCATAGATGATCGACAAATGTACTAAAGTAAATGGGTTCCAGCTATAGACGGTGCAAATCACCTCGAAACGAATGTATAATTTACCCTAACAATAGGCTATGACACATTATTTTTGCTCTTTCTATTTATCACTCTATAGGAAAGCCACTTTTTCCTTTTCATTATAAAACAGGGCTGTCTTGGGATTGGACAAATTGCCAGTAAGAGTTGTTTCGTGAAATTTCATAGGTTCCAACCATTCAAATAGGCTTGAAAAGGCTCTGTGCGGATTATCAGAACGAAAGTGGCTACCTGGAGGGAGTGTGCCAAAAGGCGCACTAGGGTGGACCGACTGGGCCAATGGTTAAGCAAGAATGATAATCTCTCTATATAATGCATAAGTTATCTTTTCCCAGGGTGATAAACATCGTTCATATAAATACTGACTACAACAGCATTAATGCGTCAGTAGAATCTGCTCGTTGGTTAAAATTAATCCATATTTTCCTACAATCTATTAGATAAAGGGATTCTTGCATTCAACAACAGAACCTTCGAAACATCAACACGCCTATGTATAGCTATAGGTACGTTACCGACCGTACGTCACTGCAGTTTAGGTAAAGTGCTGGCCATAAAAGTCTAACGTGCTGTTTACCAACGAAGTAAACGCCGGCACAGTCTGCCTCGCAGATTATTCTATGGAGATCGTAATGAGCCCTTTTCTGAAGGGCGTCTTCTTTTCCGTATAAATATTTATCCATTTCAATAAGAGATCTAGAAGCTTGCTTCTTGTCCACAAAAATGCGATTGATAGCGGTTGCCCTGATGCTCTTGCCGTAGCTAGCAGACCATTTCAGAGCCAGCCCTGCTCTGCAGGCAAAGAAAGGGGAGCTTTACCGCAGCCACAGTACATGCGCCTAGTCAAGGACCCCGCACACATAAGAAACTTCAGTTACTAACGTAATTTCATGTCTAACGTTCTGCTAGCCTGACGAAAGCCGAGACAGCTGTAAGAGCATCCAGGATCTGTCGGCTGAGGTCGTAAATAGTTACGTTGTGTTGATTACGATCACAGTATTGTACGATCACAAGGTTTAGTTCGAGCGATGGTCGCCAAAACGGGGATGGTATATGATCTCAGTAGAAACTGGATGTCGTAACCCATTTCAGCCATTGTGCGAACAGTTTCACTCAACGTCTCTTGTAAAATCAATGCGTAAGGAGCAAGCTTTATCTCTGCTGTGGTGTTTAAACTCTAAATCTCTTAAGCAAACTCAAGTGAATGTCGCCCACTAGAGCTGTTCTCGTTTTGCTGCCACAGGCTGTTCCTGTACAAACACGGCCAACCTTAGACTATATTCGAAAAATATAAGAACCTGCCTGTTACGAGGTGGTTAGCGTCTCGACCACCTAAAAATATGCCGCTCCAATGGTCACGAAATCTCACAGTCGTTTACTTATTAATACCAACACTAATGTTCCCCTCGTACTTTCGATGCAGGAAGTGTGCGTATGGTCGAGAAGGTACTCAATGAGGTAGATGACCATAACTAGTGCGTACTTTATCCGGTCCCCAGCTAATGTCTTTATCTAAGCTGGGGGCATTGGTATGGATCGTCTCTGGATTCACTAGCTGGATTAAAACAAGCCCCACCAAACCTATCT